ATTCAATATCAATCCTTTTGTCGATTATCTCAAAATTTCGTCTAGTGTTTAATAATGGTATCCAAACAAACAAAAGCTCCGTTTGGATTAACTATTTTTTGGGGTGTTTTTCAAAAAATTTATTGTTCATTTTTTGGAAAACAGTAAATATTGTTTGGATTGCTGTCGTTCACAAACAAATTGTTTTTGAAAAACAAACGTGTTTGGATTCACTGTTTTTGAAAAACAACAGTTAAATTTTTTAAAAATAAATATCCTTTCTAAAAAACTTAATGCCGTTTGTAGTGGTACAATTAAAAGCAATAGGCAAGATACATAGGTTTCATAAGACTACATGCTAGATATAATATGTCTGTGAAAACATTAATTATTACAAAAGCATTGACAATTCGCTTTATAGTTAGAAAGCTCCACGAGAGAGAAATCACTATGTTCTACTGATATTGGTGATAGTACATGTGATCGACTATTACTCTCCTGTCTTCATTCTAACCAGCAATTTCTTGTGCCGACATATCCAGTGGTTGTGGTCTGGCCATTTGATTGCCCTGGTCTAAATTATCTGCCAATGCTACATCAGCTTCTTTTTTAACAAAATATGCATCATTGGGAACATGATCGCACATGAAGTTGTGCAAGGCACAACAAGCAAGGACAATGTTATTTTGCATTGCCATCAAATAGTTCTATATGGATCCCTTAAGTATCGGAAATCGCTTTTTCAAGACACCAAACGTGCGTTCTATAATTCTCCTTAACGATGCACGGCGTTTGTTGAAAAGTACTTTTATTACCCGCTTTTGTGGGATTCCCCGTGCACCCCTGAAGGGAGCCATAAATCCTGACATATTTGTGTATGCCGCGTCTACCGCATAATACTTGCCTGCATATCATGTACAGATAATTAAGTTCATTATGGCAACTCAAATTTAAACAATAAGAAAACTCAGTTAGGCAAGGCATTTTTTGACTTAATTTTCACGCACCTGCTGGTGGCATTGGAAAGGCACGATGAGGATCAAGTAAAACATCTCGTAAAATCCTAGAATCATGGGCACTATCCTCCCACCTTACCCTGATATAAGTGAATCTCATATTATGGTCGCACACGGTTAGAATATTTTGTGATAAGCCGCCATGCCTATTCCGGTAACGATCCCTGTCTTTGACTCTACACCAAGTTGAAATGTGTGTTCCATCAATAGCTCTAACGCAATTCTAATCACATGGGCCAGTGTTACATACTTAACAGGTTTTCATAATGACCAACTAAACATTAAATCCCTAACCTTAAACCATGGCCAGAACATCGCACTGTTCTGTATGTTTGGATGAATTGTGTGATAATCTATCGGCCTAACCAAGTCGTGTCCTAATTGAATGAGAGATCGAAGGCAGTGTTGTAGATGGCGGTCCACTGTCTCAGAAGATGTTGGAATCTCTCAGCTAGCACCCTATGTCGCTTATTATGACTCAAGCACAGAAGACAAATGGCGACAGACTTATGAATTCCCACCCGTTGTGTAGGGTGCAGCTCCCAATAACCCTGCTCAAGCAACAAGTCACATAATTGTAGGAAAAAGGGAGCTTCCATGCGAAGGTTGTCGAATATTCTGTCTCGATGGCCGTTTATTAGCTCTAGAACCCATTGAGCACCCGACTGTGCACCATCTCGGATTCGTCACCGCTGTAGAGGGTTTAGGTATGGGTCGAATAAGGCCAATCCAAGAAGAACTGTGACGCCCCCACTTCTCCCAAGGACGAACCCAAGGGTATCGGAGGAACGCCTGCCAAACTCTCGCCAGGATTCAGTACAATTCATATACTCAAAACTCGAAATACTTTAAATAACTTCAATACATAATTAAAGTACTCCAAAATATCTCAGACTTACATTAAGTTAACTTTCAAGCTTAAATACAACCCAACGGAATATGTACTACAGCCATCCGCTATAATACAACTTAAGATCTTCAAAAGAAAGCAATCTAGTACTATTCTCGGGCACTCTTGGTCTCGAACCCTGTGAAAGAAATCCACAACGTGGAATGAACTACACAGCCCAATGAGGTTCCAATACACTCTAGTAGTTCTATTAAATCCGTAAAGGGAGCATACCACATGTATGGTTCAGGGTTGCACGTTGACATAAGAACATGAGACAATTATCATTCTACGAGTAATTTGAGCACATCACAGGTATAGCACATTTGCATGAAACGGTTATCATTATGTAAAAATAAACACACATTGAAGGATACGGTGTTCCATTGGAACCATGTCGGTCATCTGCACCTTATAACTTCCGGATCCCCTCGGTTTGTCTGGCCATCACCTTATCCCTCCAGTGGTAGTACTTGAGTATACCGAAACGGTGGTCCAGAGTTCCAACCTACCCGACCGACCCCAGTCCTGACTCGAGTAGGTCAGTAACCGAGGGCAGTACCCAAGTTCAGTTTAGAGCTTACAACATGCACAAGTAATCAAGTAAATCGATGAATGGTAAAATTTTATCATTTGAGTAGGTCGAGTGAGATAAAGTACACACTCGCCTTAAAATGGTGGACAATTTCATATGGGCAATGATGCGAAGGGCAGTGGAGATCACAGGGAAATTCTCTCAAACAGGAGTTGCAAATTGGAGAAGACAACTCGAGGGAGAGACATAGTATTATTGCAGAGATGAGAATAGGAAATTGAAATGAATACAATTGAATGAGACTGATCAGACTACCCGTACCTCTCATCCCCCTAGCCCCTTTTATATAGTCACCTGCGACCGCCTTCTATTTCAGTACTAATTCTATTTCAGTAATAAGCTTCCAGCACAAGCTTTTCATTTCTGCACGAGCTTTCCCTTTCCAGCTACTTAACTAACTATCAGAATGGCTGATGTGGTGCAACTAACTCAACCAACCATTTGATGTAGCATAACAACTTCCTAGCAGTAATAAACTCCAGCTGACCACATCCGGCAGAATTATTCCAGACATAACAATACTCCCCTCCTCAAAAAGTTCTTGTCCTCAAGAACTGAAGTGAGGATACTGCTGGTGGAGATCAAACCAGTACTCCCAAGTCGCATCTTCTGGGAAACTGTTGCTCCATTGGACCAACACCTGTGTAGCAGCAGTTCGTCCCCTGTGTACTAATCTCCTATCTAGAATAGCGACTGGTTCCATGAGCAAATGGCCCTGATCAGTGACACGAGTGGGGATGTGTTGCTGCACTGGATGATCCCCTACATGTTTCTTCAAAAGGGAAACATGAAAGGTGGAATGTATCTTGACCTCTAAGGGAAGGTACAACTTATATGCAACAGAACCAATTTTTGCAATGATCTGAAAAGGTCCAAAGTACCGTGGAGATAGTTTTTGACAAGAATGAGTCCGGAGTGAGTGCTGTCTATACGGTTGGAGCTTAACATAAACCCAATCCCCTGGCTCAAAAGATCTTTTAGACCTGTGCTGGTCAGCCTGCTGCTTCATGCGATACTGAGCCTTCTGCAAGTTATGCTTCAGCAAGTGTAGAGTGGTCTCTCATGCAGCTAGGCTCCTATCCACACTATCAACAGTAGAATTGCCTGGCATGTAAGGAATGTGCAAGGGAGGTGACTGGCCGTAGACAACCTCGTAGGGGGTGCTCCTTACAGCTGAGTGAAAATTTGTATTGTACCAAAATTTTGCCAGTGGCAACCAAAAACACCATTGTTTGGGATGATCACTGCACATGCATCTCAGATAGTTCTCCAAGCATCTATTAACAACCTCAGTCTGGCCATCTGACTGAGGATGATAAGCAGTAGATAAACACAACTGTACTTTCAACAGATGGAACAATTCCTTCCAAAGGTGACTAATGAAAGTTGCATCCCTATCACTGACTATCGTCTGAGGGAGGCCATGAAGCCTATAGATATTATCTAAAAATACCTGTGCAACTGAGAGAGCAGTGTAGGGGTGTTTGAGAGCAATGAAATGAGCATACTTACTGAGTCTATCCACCACCACAAGAACAGCATCCTTTCCATGAGATTGAGGCAGTCCCTCCACAAAATCCATGGATATGTCAGACCACACACGTTCTGGAATACTCAATGATTGTAGCAGACCTGGATATGCCACATTTTCCCCCTTATGCCTTTGACAAACATCACACGAAGCCACATATTGTTCGACATCTCTCTGCATATTCTTCCAATATACCAACTCCTTAAGTTTCTTATAAGTCACCTGCACACCTGAATGCCCCCCAATTGGGGTATCATGCCACAGTCTAATGAGCTTCAACCTTAAGTCTGGATCATTTCCTACTACCAAGTTCCCTTTTCGCCGCAGTTGCTGATGCTGATAGGTGTAGTGCACATGCCGAGGGTCATTTGCAGGGGCCTGCAACTGCTGAATAATGCCTTGCAACAAGTGATCTTGAACGCAACTCTGTTGAATCTCAGCAAGCAGTGCAGATCGAATGACTGATACAGGAGCTAATATTGCTGTACTGACAGAAGGCTGTCTGGACAATGCATCAGCTACCACATTATCAACCCCTTTCCTATAGTGAAGTTCATAGTCATACCCCATAAGCTTAGCCACCCACTTCTGCTGCATAGGTGTGGATACTCTTTGCTCAATCAGATATTTAAGACTCTGGTGGTCAGTCTTAATGACAAAGTGTCTACCCAACAGGTACGGTCTCCATTTTTGAACTGCACTTACTATAGCTAGCATTTCCCTTTCATACACAGAAAGACCCTTATGCTTGGTGGCCAAAGCTTGGCTAAAGTAAGCCAAGGGTCTTCCCTTTTGACTCAGAACTGCCCCAATACCATCACTTGAGGCATTTGTCTCCACTTCAAAGGTCTGAGAGAAATCTGGTAGAGCCAGCACAAGAGGTGAACTCATAGCCACTTTCAGTGCTGAAAATATTGTTGTAGCCTGTCCTGTCCACACAAAGCTGTTCTTTTTGAGATCTGTCAATGGTTTGGCCAGCTTCCCAAATCCTTATTTGAACCTCCTATAGTACCCTGCTAATCCCAAAAACCCCCTTAACTCCTTCAGATTTGAGGGTATAGGCCACTGTTGAATTGCTTGCACCTTATGAGAGTCTGCCTGCACTCCTTCTCCTGAGATTACATGCCCCAAATATGCCACTTGCGGCTGAGCAAAAAAGCACTTGCTCTTTTTTACTTTCAAACTGTGCTGCCGCAGAGTTCCTAAGGTGATCTGCAAGTTTCTCATGTGGTCAGGCCAGATTGGACTAAACACAAGAATATCATCAAAAAAAACCAGTATGAACTTCCTCAAATAAGGCCTGATTACGGTGTTCATCAAACTTTGGAAAGTGGAAGGTGCGTTGGTCAGCCCGAAGGGCATCACAACAAACTCATAATGCCCTTCGTGAGTTCTGAAGGCAGTTTTAGCAATATCATCCGCACAAATTCTTATCTGGTGATAACCAGATCTAAGATCCAGTTTAGTGAAGAAATGAGATTCAAATAACTCATCAATTAGTTCTTCTACCACTGGTATGGGAAACTTGTCCTTCACAGTAGCTGCATTTAGTTCCCTATAGTCAATACACATCCTCCACGTTCCATCCTTCTTCTTAACCAATACAACTGGAGAAGAAAAGGGACTTGTACTGTGCCTGATGACTCCAGATTGTAGCATTTCCTGAATCAGCTTTTCAATCTCATTTTTCTGGAAGACATGATATCTGTAAGGCCTTAGGTTCACAGGCACTGTTCCTTCCTTGAGTATGATTTGGTGATCGTGGCCTCTGTGAGGGGGGAGTTCAGAAGGTTCTTCGAAAATATCCTTAAATTGCATTAACAGTTCATTCAACTCCCTTGCTTCAGAACCATGGCTAGGGTTTGCTACCTGTAATTCTTCCTCCAATTGACAGAGACTGCCTGTCTGTTCCCTTGCTGGTATCTGCACAGGTGCAATGAAGCAAAGCTGTGCGGAAGCAATCTGTTCAGGCTTCCGTAAGATCTTCTGCATAGTCCTCTTTTGCACCACTTGAATGGCCTGCTGACCCTTCCCTCTCAACACCACCTTCCTCTTTTCCTTCAGAAATTCCACTTTCAGCTCTCCAAAGTTCCACTTTATATCACCCAATGTTGAGAGCCATTGCATCCCCAGTACTAACTCACAACCTCCCACAGGTAACACCATAGCATCAGCCTTGAACGTCTGTTTGTGCATCTTCCACGTGAAATCAGGACACAATTTATTGGTGGTGATTTTGTTGCCATCTGCTACTTCCACCACAACTGATGGTACTCCCTGCACCTTCAGACCCAGTTTGTTAACTAAATCTGGATGAACAAAATTGTGAGAGCTTCCACAGTCAATAAAAATATTTACTGAGGTCTTCCCCACATGTCCAGTCACTCGCATTGTTCTAAACTTAGGGACATCAGTAAGAGTCATGGCGTTTAAGGAAATGTGAGCCAAATTACCCTGTGATGCTTCCTGTGATGCTTCCCCCTCCTCCTCAGATTCTATCTCTAACTCTTCACCATCCTCCTCTGCACACACCTCCAATCGAAACAGCTGCCTATTCTTGCACATGTGGCCAACTCCAAACTTTTCATCACACCAAAAATAAAGACCTTTTGCTCTCTTTTCATCCATTTCACTAGAGGTTAGTCTTTTAAATGGCCTCCTGATGTATCTTTCTGGAACCGTCTCACTCCTCTCTTGGTTAGGGGTGGGCAGCAGCGCCTTATCATCCCTTCTCCAAGCGCGATCAAGGTTACTCTCCTTCTTCCAAGATCCTTCAAAGTTCCCTTCTCTCCTCCACCTGTCATCCACGGTAGAGTGGAAGCCAGTTTTAATCACTCCTCTCTTCTGTTGAGTCGAAATTTTGGCTTCCTCCAGTTTAGCTAGCGACCTGGCATGTTGCAGTGTTTTAGGCATGAACATCCTCACAGCTAATTGTATCTCTGTCTTCAATCCACTGATGAAGCAGCTTGTGGCATAATCTTCAGGAAGGTCTACCCTATTTAGCAGCTCTTCGAACTGCTCTTGGTATTCCAAGACTGATCCTTCTTGTTTCAAGGCCTTTAATTCCCCCATTGAATCATCATACAAACATCCTCCAAATCTTGACGCCATCTCCTTAATATATTCTTCCCAAGCAGGTAAATCTCTCGTGACTCGCGACCTCAAAAGGATCTGGTGCCACTGGAGAGCCTTCCCCTCCAAGTTCATCGCAACCAGTTTTACCCTCACATGAACTGGCATCTCATCTACCTCAAAAAACTGTTCGATCTTAAACAACCACCCTTGTAAGTCTTCTCCATGGAATCTAGGAAATTCCAGACGAGAAAAACGCGTAGGGGCTTGGTAACTCCTCCCCTGAGATACCTCATTTTCAGAAGGTGAGTTCCTGGCAGATTGTCCTCTTTGAGAGTGCAGCTCCAGCACCAAGTTCTGGAGAGCTGCCATCTCCTGCTCAAACTGCTCTTTCTGTTCCTTCATCATAGCCTTTACGCTCTTTTCGAACCTTCGGTTATCCTGAGATCTAGTACCCTCCGCCATTGCTGTATGAGCTGGTCTGTCCCCCAGCTCTGATACCACTGATGCGAAGGGCAGTGGAGATCACAGGGAAATTCTCTCAAACAGGAGTTGCAAATTGGAGAAGACAACTCGAGGGAGAGAGATAGTATTATTGCAGAGATGAGAATAGGGAATTGAAATGAATACAATTGAATGAGACTGATCAGACTACCCGTACCTCCCATCCCCTTAGCCCCTTTTATATAGTCACCTGCGACCGCCTTCTATTTCAGTACTAATTCTATTTCAGTAATCAGCTTCTGCACAAGCTTTCTATTTCTGCATGAGCTTTCCCTTTCCAGCTACTTAACTAACTAACAGAATGGCTGATGTGGCGCAACTAACTCAACCAACCATCTGATGTAGCATAACAACTTCCTAGCAGTAATAAACTCCAGCTGACCACATCCGGCAGAATTATTCCAGACATAACAGGCAATTACTAGCAACAATTAACACATAAACACATAAGCAATATTTGATAATTTCATGTGAACATGTAATTTACGGTAATCAAGTAATCAAGTAAGCAAGTAGTCAAATAGATTAGAAAACGGTAAGTAAACACGGTAAACGGTAAATGGTAAACGGTTAACGGTAGTATTTACGGTTAATTGGTAGACATATATCATTTTAATAGGCCGCCTTTGGCCATGTCCCACTATTACCATGTAAGAGTCGAGGAGATTCACTCCAATCGACTTATGCTGTCATAGTATAATTAATCATTTAAACACATCACGTAAATATGCTCTTTAAGCATTTTTTTATCGAGTAATTCAAGTAGTCATGTAAATATGTCCTTCAAGTATTTCATGTCGAGTAATTGAAATATGTGCATTTCAAATATTTCATGTTGAATAATTCAAGTATACCTTACTTAAATATGTATGAGTGTGGTAAATACTTAACATGTAGCACTTAACACTTAATGATCATGGGATAAGCATGTCATGGACTTTTCAAATTACGTACTCCTATATGGAACACCCACCTATTCCAAACAAGTGAGTACATGCTCGAACAAGTGTTTAGGCGTCTGTTTCGAGTTTCTCTTGAAGGTCCCCTTGAGCGAATGAGCAAATAACCATTAACTATTATACACTATCACTTAGAATTCCCTACTTATCGAGAAGATTGTACTAGTGTTCACTCTAAAGAGAATTCATAAATTGAGCCTTAGTCATTCATAATCGAGGCTCGGAAGTGGCGTTAAAAAACACAAGAGAAATCTGATTTTCGTCTTTGAAATCAAGTGTAAAACGGTCTAGCAATATCGGAGGAAAATGGAGAGTTTGAAACCCTCAATTTCCTTTAAGTTCAGAAATTTCAGATTTGACAAGCAAATTTTGAAAAATCAGACCTCACTCTCTATAATTGGAAAACTTGGTACCGTTGGAAACTACCTCCAAAGTGCTAAAAGTTTCTAGAAGACACTTTTCCATGATTCCAAATGGATGACATTCAAAAGTTGGCTCGAAGTTACTGCTTTAGAATACCAAGACAGTTTCAAGGTTGGTTTTTGGGCAACTTTGGAAATTCAGTAAAATTCACACGTTGCAAACCAGCCTCCAAAATTTGTAACTCAATTAGAGTTACAATCAAAGTTTAAAACAAAACAAGCGAAACAAGAATCGGAGTTTTGAGCACCAAGATATGGTAGCTCAAAGTTAGTGAAAATGTGAAACTGTTAAGTAAATTTCAGATTTAATTCACAACTTTGGGACTTTGATTGAACATTGAAACGGACTCGGAATGACACTAAATTTGGCAGTATTATCCTACCATATAAGGGCTATTCCTCTACTAAATTTCGTAGGAAAATTCATTCGAAAAGTTGGTTAACGAAATCACTAAATTCCCAAGAAGTTCCTCGGCAAATCTGCCTTGGACTTCCGTTTTTCCGTTTTCAAAACGTTTGGCCAATAAAACACCTCAAACACGGTTCATTTCAGTAGATAATGTCTAAGATATGTCCAAGGTACATTTGATAGGTGATTAACACCAAAAACTTCGGATAACAAACCCCAAACTAAGATTAGTTAAGGATCAGTCCAAAATGAAGAATTTCATAACTGCATCAGTTTCAAACTTTGGCCACAACTCACTCAATTCAACTCAGAATTTAGTGTGGTTGGTGGCGTTAGAAAACACATTCATAAAGATATAATTTCTCAGAAGAAACCATTTTCGAAATCTGTCCACAACTAGCTCCAATTTGAGCATCAAATTGTAGTTCCTGTTCTGCCTTCCAGTGAACCCGAGAAACAGAACAGTCAAGTTCAAATGAGTGGTACGGTTTGCTCAGGTGGAATCAGGATACGTATTTTATACCATTGGAAATCTGGGGATGTATAGTTTTCAGTGCCATAAACGGTACTCGATTCCGATATTAGAGTAAAAAGATATAACCAAAACAAAATGACTGCCTGGGTGAATACGGGATAAATTTCCAGATTGCTAAGCTTTCGTAAATCCAACATTTGGATAACCAAATCAAGTTATTTTTCAATGAAACATTTTACACAACCAATATAACATGTAAACAACATAATCAAGCCATTTGAACCTCAAAATTTTGCACAAAAGTGGTCGGACAAGGCAGGGGTAAAATGGTCACTTTTACTCCAAGCACCTCCTTTGATTTTCTACCAACAATACCACATTAATCCACTAATATAAGCACTAAGCCACCATTAATTTCATCATCAATCATCAAATCAGTCCTTCCATCAAAAGTGGGAGTTTATAGAGCCCACATAACAAAATTCAACATAAACAAAGCTACCCACATGAAATTATGAACTTATAAGTGCTAGATAACTTCCATAAACAAAGGTTTAAGAGGTTGATCGTTCATTACCTCTCTTGATGACTAGATCAGAATTTTTGGTCACTTTGAAACTCAAGAAAATCGTGAAAATGAAGCCCCTTTTCTAGTTTAAGATGATCACCAAGTGTTTAGCAAAGTGTAGTTAAAATTTGAGGTGATTTGGTGGAGATTTGAAGCAAGAATCGATGAAGGAAAAATGAAGAACTTGGTCTTGTTTTTCCTTGGAGTTGCACAGCTGGAATGAAGAAGGAAAAGAAAGAGTTGCACGGCTGTTTGAGGTGATAAAGTGGAGGGTTTTGATCTGGTGTGATGCTCCCATGAGAAACTTAATAATGTGTGGGCCAAAATGCTCCAAAAGTCAACTGAGGATAATGCGCGTACCCGCGCGCTTCGTGCTCGATTCCTCTCTGGTTTATTTCACTAGTGCACTGAACCTCTAATGCACTTGTATACATACTATTGTTATTCACTCTTAATAGTCCAAAAATAATGGCCTTAAGTCCCTCAATTAATCGCGCACGTAAAAACGCGTACTTCCGATTTAAGCGCGACAAAGCGAAACCTCTAAGAAATTCTTATAACGATAGTACTAATAACTATCACTTGAGTACTTAAACATAAAAATACATATTTTAAAACTAATGTAAAAGTCTCCAATTTTTTCGAGCTTATTGTATTCTCAAATCGATCACTGTCTCCAAATGCACATTCACTATTCTCATTAAATGAGCTTCCAAAAATTAATTTCCATAACAAGTCATTTTAAAAATACATGTAAGTCATAGTTTCATGTAATTGGGTCTAAAGAGGTTACAAAATAATATTCTGGGTAAACGAGCATTTAAATATTTAAATAAGCTCGTAACAGGAGTTTAAAATAAATAAATTTTACGAGTCCTCACAACTTTTCTTAATCTACTATTGATCATTCTTATTTTTTCAAAATTAATACACTCTCAATTCAAATATAGTCTCGAAAAACGTGTACTTGTTGTCCTGAACTAAACGAGTTTTTGAAAAGTAACTTTTTCTAACAAAACATTTTAAAAATATAAAAGAGGCATTTTTCCATATAAATGAATTTTAAATAGTCGAACTAAATAATTAATTAAACCAGTAAAATAAAATAAAATAGGAAAATTTTTGAGTCCTCACAAGAACAAACATGGTGAAGGTCAAAAGGAGATCCTCCTCATCCGATTCATCAGAAGTTTCCCTCCCATGCGCATAATGATCATTTTCCATCAAGTGTTATTGGTACAGCTTCGTCAAAAATGAATCTGCAAGGTTTATGGCAGCAGTAATGATCAAAATCAAGACCAATAGGCTCCTAATTAATCATAAATGACTTAAAAAATGATGTACACCTGCAATAGTTAATAATTGAAATTGTATGTTCTTACAAAGGCAAATCATTAATAGTCTTTTCAAGACACAATTACGAACAAGCCTGTCTTAACAAAATAGTATCATAAAAGTGAAATGGAGTTAGAATAATGCTTTAATTATTGGCCTGCTATATCCTAAAATACTAGAGTAACTGCTGATTTGGCCACAAACATTATGAATAAAACCTGACAACTCATTGTTAACTTGTCCGAATTATAAGAATTAATGAATAATCAACAAAGTCATGACCACAAAGCATCCTGAATTTGAATAAACAAATGCTACAACTAACTGTCTCAAATATGAACAAACAAAGGCAACAACTCAAGCTTCAAAGAAGTGCTCCAAATGCACAAACGACTATAACGGGGGTAGGGGAGGGGGCTCCTGAGTGTCGTGGTCAAGCAGGAGACAGCCTTTTAACTTCATAAAGATGATGCGGTCGGCGTCTGATCCAGCTAAATTCCAAATAGCCAGCTCTTGAGAGTCATTCAATATTTCAGCAGCGGCCATTTTGGCTACGTAGGCCACGTTCTCTAATCCCCAAAGTTGTTCCATGGAAACATCATAATCTGATTTCTTCGATCTATCTCGGTCAGAATGATGCTTGGTCGGAGAGTTGACTGACACACTCATGCTACTGCACTTCTTTTGACTAACCAGCGACTCAATGATGTTAAGAGCCCTGAGGTATCTATTAGTCACTGAACCAGAGGCGATGGATATAGGACTACCGCTTGAGCAATCACCCGACTTTCGC